AGCGGTTCATCTCCATCTCTCAGGGGCTAGCTAAACAGAATCCAGGGGTACAGGGACTCAGGATGGTTTTCCAGGGCTTTGGCACGGGTTCCTGGGCTCAAGATGGGGCACAGAATCCCAGGACAATACCAGGATGCAGGAACCTGTCTGATCTCCTGGGGTCTGTCTTCTCTGGGTCATAGCTTTGGGGCTGCTCTCAGCACTACTTAAGAACAGGACCTTTGACTAAGGCTTAGAGAGGCACAAACAAGAGTGGGACAAAGACAGAGGAAAATGTTCCTGTGAGGGGACCCAAAGGTTTCAGGTCCTGCCCTTTTAACAGGAGGGATATATGCATGAAGAAGATAGAGCGTTGTAACGTTGGGGCCAGCGCCTCAATCTCCGCAAGTGGAGGGGAAACCATGAGGCAGATGCCCTGGGAGGGACTGCTCAGAGGGACAGCAGACAGCAACATGCCTAGGCAGTAAAAGACTGGGAGACACACAGAACCCCTTGGATAACTTCATGCCCAGGAAGACCTTGGGAGCTCACGCAGACTCAGTCTCAGAGCAAAAAACCTCCTCCTCATGGAAACCTCCAGCTAAATGAACTCCTCAGACAAAACTATGGGACTCACACTCCCTGTTTAATCAGGCAGCCTAGAAAGTTCTAGGTTTCTGTGCAGGTGGGTCATGGGCTACATTCTTGGTGCAAAAAGGACCTCGGATGAAATACTGCCTCCCTCACAGGGAGAAGAAACTGGTGAAAGACAAACACCTTCATGGGCATATCCAGAGGGAGGGACCCGGCAGGAGGTAGTCAGACATTCCTGTGGAGACCGGAGGTCCCAGAGTCACTCCTCTTTGGTGTCAGGACTGAGGGAAAATAATTAAGATGAGCAATCCACAGTGAGGGCTTCTGTGATTGGAGATGGCTGTGTTCAGGGTGGGGAGACTTTCCAAAAATCAGTTTCAGGAGTCTCTCATCAGAAGGGGTGTTCCCAACCATCTGTCTTCTCATCTAACTGATCTAACATGAGGAGCCTCAGCTAGAACTTCATGTCTGTGTCCCATGTCAAGAATTAGGTCAGGGCTCTCCACATAAACACCAGGCCTGTGACCTCTCACCTTTCCCACATCACAGGTCAGCCGAAGGCCAGCCCTACGCTCACAGTGTTCCCACCCTCCTCTGAGGAGCTGGCAACCAACAAGGCCACACTGGTGTGCCTGATTAACGACTTCTACCCGGCTGAGGTGACGGTGACCTGGAAGGCAGATGGCACAACCGTCACCCAGGGCGTGCACACCACCAAGCCCTCCAAACAGAGCAACAACAAGTACGCGGCCAGCAGCTACCTGAGCATGACTGCCGAGCAGTGCCGAAATCGCAGCGCGTTCACCTGCCAGGTCACGCACGAGGGGAGCACCGTGGAGAAGAGCGTGACCCCTGCAACATGTTCTTAGGGCCTATTTCCCACCGGATCCTTAGGATCTACATCTTATGATGGGCCTATTTCCCACTGGATCCTTAGGATCTACATCTACTGACCCAAGAGAATGGGTCTCTCTTCCAACTCTAGTTCTCCCAGACCTTCTGCCTCAATCTGTAAACTCTCAATAAATATCCTAATGTCAATCAGAAATCTGGCTTGCTTTTTCCTCTCGTTAATTTACAACCTCCTTGAGGTTCTCAGACTGGGCTATGGGATCTTACGAGAAAATTCAACACTCACCCTGGGAAATGCACCCACCATGTACCATTATCCTCCAGACACTCCTTTCCCAATTCTTCACCTGAGCCACCTCTCCACTCAGCTCAAACCAAAAGGTTCTCTCACCCTCCATCATTCTAATTTGATTCCTAAAGTCCTAATTACATCCTCCCACAATTCTACTGTCCCCTCTACTCTAGGTGAGTCTCAGGACTGAAGGGTCACTGGTCAGGGGCACTGGAAGCTCAAGGATATCCATCGGGCACCTAATGAAAGACCTAATCCCACTTTCAGTATGCCATGACCATCATGTTCCAGGTAAAATCTGAGATCCCTAGTGTAGAACAAAACATTGTCCCTGGAAACAGCCCATGGGATGTAGTTCTTTCCCACAGGGGAAGACAGGGTCCACAGGGAGTGTTTCATATTTGGGTAGACATGAGGGGAGATCCAGAAGGACTGGGGGAGTTCCCAGGGCCCCAAATATGTGCAAGAGACAAAGACAGCGGGAAAAGTGGGAAGAGATCATAAAGCCAAAGACATGGTCTCAGCAAAAACACAGAACAAGAAGGAATTTTGAAGTCCTCTCAACCTTGGTCTCTAGGAGATACCACTCAGGAATGGAAGGATAGGATATTGAGGTCTCAGAAGGAGGAGACCACTTTGATCTCGCAGAGTCTGACCAGCAGAGGCCCCTACTTTAGAGATGACACTGAAGTAGATTGACTTGTGTAAAAACAGACTCCTTGGGTTAATATTCCACTCTCCCACCAAGCCTGTAGCTCAGGACAGAAATATCTTCGACTGACCCACTGGACAGTCAGAGCACTCACACATATGCTCAAGAGACAATCAGAAAACCCCAGACAGAGAGGAGACAGCATTGGACAGGGACAGGCAGACAAGAGTCCAGAGTCTGTGTAGGAGGCCAGGTACAAAATGAGTCTCAGCAGAGGTGTTGGCCTGGTGTGCAGCTCAGGGGTTTCTAGTTAATGAGAGTGTGGGTACATCTCAAGAACCCATATTCCTTAAGAGACTATGCACCCTGTCTATAGTGGTTTTTCCTGACACTAAGGGATCTATACCATGACTCTCATGCTGAGTTCAGAGGCTCCTTGCCTATAAGCCAGTCGCTGACCACCCAGCAACACCACAGGTCATTGCAAGACCAACCCCGAAGTCACTCTTACCCTGCCCTCCTACGTGAAGATTGCAACCAATATGGACACACTGATGTGTAGAAGGATACCTTCTGTGCACCAAACCTGATGGTGACGCAGACCGCAGATGGCTCCACCATCTCTCAGGGCATGGAGACCTGCAAGCCCTCCAAACAGAGCAGTCACAAGTACCTGGTCAGCAGCTACCTGAGTATGTCAGCTAACCGGTGGAAATCTCGCAAGACTCAGGTATCGGCCTATACAAGAAGGAGCTCCATGGAGAAGTGTGTGGTCCCTGCACAGTAGTCTAACATCACTACTCCCAACCCACTCTGGGGACGCAGGACCCAGGTCCTATGGCTGAGTTTCCTCTCCCACTTCAAGTCATCATGCATCACGGCCCTTCTACCTGAACCAGTCATCTCTCAATAAAAATCCTCATTTCAATCAGAAACCCTGCTCCATCTTATGATTTCTTATGCCACCGCCCAACTCATTGCAGCCTTTCTCCCTGAGTCTGCAAACTATCAATAAAAAGATCCTCCTTTTCAGTCATGCTCTGCTCTCTGCTTTATTTCAACAGTCTCCATCTAAACATGACCGTTTTCAAAGGTGAACGTTATTACTCAACTTGTGTCTAAGCAGCCGGACAACAAGTCTTGATTTTTCCCCTACGATTTTTCCAAACAAACCCTCATGCAAGGACATTTCCAAAAAAAGGACTGTCTAGCCAGGAGCTCAGCCCATTCACAGTTCCCTCCCGTCTCCTGTACGTCCTGCTCCCATCTATACCTGTCATCTACCTCTGAGTGGAGCTCACCTGATAGCTCGGAGGTCTCCATGGCCCACCTCCCCTCCCGCCCTTGGGTGCTCTGCTCTCACACTCAGTCTTGAAAGGGTCTCTCTCTTCCATATTGGCCGCTATCTCAGGACTAACCCACCCCTCACAGTCACCATCCACTGCACATTTATGTCAGCCCTGACTAGGACAGGAGTCAGGAGCACAGCTCTAAGCACTGGGGACTGGGTTTCCTGTGGTTAAACTTTCTCCCCCACCTAGAATACCATTCAGGCCTCCTGTGCAGAAGCTATGGGGACAGCCAGGCTGCTTCTCACAAATCACCCTGCACGGAAGTCCCAGCTCCATGTCCTCTGTGCTAGAAAGGGGCCTCAGGACCACCCTCCCTGACATTCCTGACACCACCTCAGACAGGCTCTCAGCTCCCTCCCTGGATGACTATGAGCTGGGCAAAGGCATTCCCTCACCAGAGATTTCTCATCAAGCCCTCCCCTGACTGGGGACAGACAGGCTATCTGGCCATCAAAATATCAGTCTTGAGATTCCAGATTAGGGGGGCCAGGCCCTTCACCCCACCTGTGACAGACTTGCACTGAGAAGAGAAGCAAGGACCTGGGCCTGCTGAGCAGCTGCAGGTGGGCCTGGGTTGGGTGTGTCAGGAGGGGTTTGTGTACGGGGCTGTGTCACGGTGTTATGTGTTCGGCAGCGGCACCCACTTGACCGTCCTCGGTGAGTCTCCCCATTCTCTACTTCTTGGAGTTATCAGTGAAATTTGGGCAGATTTTTCTCTCTTTTCTATCCTGTTTGGAACAGAGATCTAGACCTTCCTGGGGAATCTGGAACCTTCCTCTCCTAGTCTTCCCCTCTCTTCTCCAGCTCTAGTCCATCCTCACCTCTCAGGTTTTGCTCAGGGCAGGAGGGGCAGATCCAGAGAAAACCTAATAATCCCTACTCAGGCCTGAATGGGACCCTGAACTCTTTTCTAGAAGTCATTCTTTCTGAACTCTGGGAAGTTCGACTCCATCTCTCAGTGACTATATAAATAGAGTCCAGGTGAGCAGGGGCGCAGGATGTACTTCCAGAGCTTAGGCTCGGGTTCCTGGGCTCAAGACAGGGCACCAAATCCCAGGATAATACCAAGATGCAGGAAACTTTCCTTTCTCCTGGAGTCTATCTTCTGTGGGTCATGGCTTTGGGGCTGCTCTCAGCATTACTTGAAAATGGGACTTTTGATTAATTATGGAGAGACTGAGGCACAAACATAGAGGGACAAAGACAGGAAAATGTTCCTGTGAGGGAACCGCAAGGTTCCAGAATCTGCCTCTTTCACAGAAGGGGCAGAAAACATGGGGAGGATAGAGAGCAGGAACGCTCAGGCCAACACCTCCATCTCCACAAGTGGAGGGGAAACCATGAGGCAGATGCCCTGGGAGGGACTGCTCAGAGGGACAGCAGACAGAGACGCCAAGGCAGTAAAAGACTGGGGGACACACAGACCCACTTGTATAACTTCATGCACAGGAAGACCTTGAGAGCTCACACAGACTCAGCCTCAGAACAGAAAACCTCCCTCCGCATGGAAACCTCCAGCTAAGTGAACGAACCAAACCAAACAATGAGACTCACACTCCCTTTCCATTTAGGTACCCTAGAAATTTCTAGATCTCTGTGTGGGTGGGTCATGGGCTACAGTGTTGGTGCCAAGTGGACTTTGGACAAAATACTGCCACCCACACAGGGAGAAGAAACTGAAGAAAGACAAACACCTTCATGGGCATATCCAGAGGGAGGAAGCTGGCAGGAGGTAGTCAGACATTCCCTGTGGAGACAGGAAGTCCCAGAATCACTCCTCTTTTGTGTCAGGGCTAAGGGGAAATAATTGAGATGAGGAATCCACAGTGAGGGCTTCTGTAGTTGGGGAATGGCTGTGTTCAGGGTGGGGAGACTTTCCAAAAATCAGTTTGAGGAGTCTCCCATTTGAAAGGGTGTTGCCACCCACCAGTCTTCTTAACCTAAGTCCAAGAAAGGCCCACTTGAGGACATAGCCCTCAGCTAGGACTTTGTGTCTGTGTCCCATGCCAAGACTGAGGTCAGGGCTCCCACGTAAACACCAGGCCCGTGACCTCTCACCTTTCCCACATCACAGGTCAGCCGAAGGCCAGCCCTACGCTCACAGTGTTCCCACCCTCCTCTGAGGAACTGGCAACCAACAAGGCCACACTGGTGTGCCTGATTAACGACTTCTACCCGGCTGAGGTGACGGTGACCTGGAAGGCAGATGGCACAACCGTCACCCAGGGCGTGCACACCACCAAGCCCTCAAAACAGAGCAACAACAAGTACGCGGCCAGCAGCTACCTGAGCATGACTGCCGACCAGTGCCGAAATCGCAGCGCGTTCACCTGCCAGGTCACGCACGAGGGGAGCACCGTGGAGAAGAGCGTGACCCCTGCAACATGTTCTTAGGGGCTATTTCCCACCGGATCCTTAGGATCTACATCTTATGATGGGCCTATTTCCCACTGGATCCTTAGGATCTACATCTACTGACCCAAGAGAATGGGTCTCCCTTCCAACTCTAGTACTCCCAGACCTTCTGCCTCACTCTGTAAACTCTCAATAAATATCCTAATGTCAATCAGAAACCTGGCTTGCTTTTCCCTCTCATTAATTTACTACCTCGTTGAGGTAATCAGACGGGGCTGTGTGATCTCGCAAGAGAGTGTACCCCTCCCCCTGGGAAATGCACCCAATATGTACCATTATCCCCTAGACACTCCTTTCCCAATTCTTCACCTGAGCCACCTCTCCACACACTCAAACCAAAAAGTTCTCCCATCCTCCATCATTCTAATTCCCCTCCTCAAGTCCTAATCACGTCCTCCCAGAATTCTACTGTCCCCTCCACTCTAAGTGAGTCTCAGGACTGAAGGGTCACTACTCAGGAGCACAGGAAGCTCAGAGTATATATTGGGCCCCTAATCAAAGACCTAACCCCACCTTCAGTATGCCATGACCATGGCGTTCCATGTACATCTGAGATCCTTAGTGTAGAACAAAGCGTTGTCCCTGGGAACAGCCCAACAGACCTAGGTCTGGAGAACCCAGACCCCTCCTCAACACTAGGAACAACAGCTTCCACCATGGACTCTTAAGTCTCTGACCTCCCACCCCTCCACCCCAAAGGTCAGCTCAAGGTCACCCCTAGGTCTCTCTGTTTGTGTCCTCCTCTGAGGAGCTCACAACCAACAAGGCCACAATTTTGTGTCTAATCAATGGCTTCTACCCACCTGACTTGATGGTGACCTGAAAGGCAGACCTCACCACCATCTCCCAGGACATGGAGACCCCCAAGCTAAGCAAACAGAGCAACAAGCACACGGCCAGCAGCTACCTGAGCCTGACAGCTGACGAGTGCATATCTCACGACTCGTACACCTTCCAGGTCATGTATGAGGGGAGGGGACGAGAGTGGACCCTGTTTTTGAGCGTGGCCCCTGTGGAATGTTCTTAGAATCCCGCTCTATCTACACTTCTAGGGTCTAGAGCCACAGGATCCCACAGCAAGTCTTCTCTCTCAAGTCTTCCCAGCTTCTCCCTGAACCCATAAACTCTCCATATACATTCTCATGGTCAATCGGCAATCCTACTCTATCTCATTATCTCTTATTTCAAATTTCATTTGCAGCCTCTCTGGGTTCAGGGTGGGGTGGGGGAGAATCTGACACCCAGTGAGAAAGCTGCCCAGGGGAGAGGCTCCCTGGTCATCAATAAGGAAGCAGGCCAGAGCACAAGGAGTCTGATCACTGGAACGTCAGGTCCTCAGCCTCTCCTTCCTCCCCTTCCTCCTCCCAGCACAGGATTCCCCACTCCCTGCCTCCTTCCTGGACAGAGTTGTCCATAGCCTGGAACTCTGAAACACTCTCTCTTCCTGCCCTGGTCAGGACCCTCTGTCCTCCCATGTTCTTTCCTTACCCTGGAAAACTCACACTAGGCCTGGGTCCCCTCTGCCCCTGGCCCTCGCCCCTTGGGAAGCCCACGTTATTCTCTACCCAGCTTGATTCCTGCCCTCTCTCACACCCTCCCCTTCATTCCTAAGAACTGGGCTGTCCACAGAGTCCGATATGTCGGCTTCATGGGCTCATAAATCTGAGACCCATGTTGGTTCTTCACCTGATGGCAGGTTCAGAGACATGAGAGGAATGAGAGGAGCCTGGAAAGGAAACTCACACAAAGACCTACCAGGAAACAGGGCCCTTATCAAAGATGAACTCTGAGCTCTCTGGGAACCAGTGTAAGGAGAAAAATGGGTGCCTCATAATTTCTTTTTCTTTTTTTCTTTTTGTAATTCCCAGAGACCACATGAGAGAAAGCACCCCATGATAAGGCATGGTCATGCCACAATCCTTGTTCCTCCCTTCTCCCTTACTAAGAGGATTTGGGGCACACATGCACACATACTCAGTGTGTTTTTCAAGCCGCCATGGCTGGGACTTGAACCTCGGTTGGCCATGTGGGATCCAGCTCCCATACCACAATGCTATGGGACTGACCCATTCTTCATAATTTCTATGAGATTAACCGAAGACTTTGCTGAAGGGAACTTGGAGTTCTCAATGTGGAGACCAGGCATCTTGTACATGGGGACATTTTACCCAAGACCTCAGCATTAAGGGAATTTGGGCTCCAGCATGTGCACACAGGTATCCCAGACTTAGGACTTCTGATTCTCTCAAGTACCTGGCACAGAAAGTCACCTGAAATCTTCCAGAGGGGCAGTACAGGTGCATTATTTTTTGGGAACACATCCAGGAAAACTAGGTCCCAAATCAGGACTTTCTCTGTGAGGCTCATGGGCCTGGGCTGACAATGAAGCTGCTATGAGGACAAAGGTGTCACCAGGTGAGTGGGAACTCTGGCCCAGCCCCTTAACCTGCTCCCAGGGTCTGGCCCCACCACTGCTTTGTAGTGAGTGGGTAGGAGGGAGCAGGTAGCACTGGCAGCTTCTGTGGCTGCTGTAAGGAATCAGTTCAAATTGAGTGACTTAGAACACAATTTGTTCTTCCACAGGCCTGGAGGGCTAAAATCAAGGTGTCTACAGACCTGCGCTCCTTCTGGAGATTCCCGGGGAAAATCTGTTTCTTTGCCTGTTCCAGTTTCTAGAGGCTGCCACATCCCCAGCTCATAGCCCCTTCCTCCAGCTCCCAAGCCAGCAGAGTATTCTTCAAATCTCTTCTCTCTCTCTCTCTCTCTCTCTCTCTCTCTCTCT